GTCGAGATGGAATTTGAAATGTAATGCTGGAAAACTTAAACTTACCAAATTCATTTTCTTCAACAAATGCCCTCCATTTGTCAATCCAAACTTTCGCAATAACATTCGGTGGCATGTAATAACTATAGGTAAGGAATGGTATATTATTTTTCAATCGCTTTAGCTGTTCCTCCAATGTTAAAAATGCCCTTAGCTAAATTTTCCGTTTATGTTTCATTCCTTGAAATTCATTTTGGCAGGTCAAACAATAATAATTTACTTATTTTTACATTCGTTAGTAAAAATCCTTCGTTAGCAAACCCTTTGTTAGCAATTAGCAGTCTTTGTTTCACATCAGTTAAATATCCTCTGCCAGATATCTGGAGTTCAGTTCTGCATATAAACAATTGTCCTCCATACGGTTGTTCTTTCTGCATTTTGGGGTGGTTTTGATATCATTTTAATGTTTTATAATTATATCTTTCGTTACGCATTGTTATAATATTTATTTGTGGTTTAATTACCCAAGTTTGAGGTTTCACGACATAGATTATAAATATAATTTTATCCTTTTTTTGCATTTTTTTTCTTTTATTAGAAATACACTGGATGAAAAAAATTTTCTAGGTAGAGGAAGGGAAGAGAAGAATAATAATATTGATAAAACAGATTGTTATTTTCTTCTTCACAACTACAATTAATACCAACTAACATTTGAATAAATGAGGAATGATTTTTCAATCTTCAATTTCATGAAACTGATTGGATAAATAATCAAATAACAAAAAAATTCGTTGTTATCATTTATACAAAATTATATATATATATATATATAATAAAATGACTAGACTAGGTTTTTTCTCAACAAATTCTTTATTTTAATAATTTCCTACTATATGTTTAAGTCTTTTTCTGTTTATTCATAATTATTTTTTAAGCGCCATATCTTTCTTTCTTTTTTCCTTTTCTTTCTTTTCCTTTTAAAATATCGCTTTTTTCTTTTTTCTAAAGTTTAAAAAGCAATTTGTAAATGGCGTAATACTAGAATGACTACGATAATAATTAATCAAAACCCTTACATCATGGATGCAATTTCACATAAGTCATATATATTTTTTTTCTTTAATTTCTTTTCCCTTCTTTAGTGTCTTCCCCTTATTTGATGATAAATGAAGCGATCAGTTTGTGAAATATTAAAAATTTTTTCTAGCTAAAAGCTTTTATCTAAGGAAATTCTTCAGTAGTATATTTTATGACTTTTGATCGCTAAAATTTACCATTAAGAATAATTTCGCTCCTATTTTTGTAGAATTTTTTTTTTCCAATTTTCTTTTGAATGTTTATTACACTATCCTTATTCTTTATTGTTACTATCATTATTATCTATTATTATTAGTCATATGATTATTATCTCTCTTCCTCGTGTATAATGAAAAAAAAGGATGATTCAATTAAACATATACATTTTTTATCGCCGTATTTTGCGAATTATGGGCACAAATTTGTTGAGTAAATTAAAACAAAAATGGTAATTGAGTAAATTATCAATCAGATAATAACTCCGAATCATTTAATGTCGATAAAATGAATAAAAACTTTTCCACAAATCTTTTTTTTTTTTTCATGTCAAAGTAATTTACGATCAATAATTTGAATGATATTTTTTTTCTGCTGATTTGAAACGAATAAAATAATGAATAAATCAGTAAATCCTTATTTTGTATTTTCTTTTCCTATCTTTTTTAACTTTCTTTCCCATCATCCTTTTTTCTTTTTAGTCATATTTAACATTTCTTTTTTGTGCTAAATAAAATATTTTTGTTTTCCGCCTGTATAAATCACTCCAACATTTCTCTTTAAGCCTGTTAAATTAAATTACCAACTTTTTATGCGTTGTTGTTTGTTTGTAAAGGCAATTTTTGAGAGGTCAAATAAATTTAGTAGAAATTCACAAAAAAATGTTGAACAGGCTTGAAGAAAAGTGTTGAAGTGATTATACACGCGGAAAACAAAAATATTCTATTTAGCAGAAATGTTAAATATGACTAAAAAGAAAAAAGGGATGATAAAAAAGAAAGTTGAAAAAGGTAGGAAAAAAATGCAAAGTAAGGAATTACTGATTTTGAAGGACTTATTCAACTATTTAAAATATGAAATCAACTTGTAGTTGTAGGAAAAAAGGACATTTCAACCTTTTTTTAATACGAGACGATCCCTTTTATATAATTTTATATAATTGTTTCCTACTTAATTTATATTCTTATCACGTTTCTTCTCTTCGATTCCGTTATACTATCAGTAGAACTGGTCGAGCTGACTGTTGTTGTTTCTTTCCCTTTTCTTCTTGATCCTTGAATTGTCTTGAGTATTATAACTGTCGTTTTGCTTGTATGTCGTCGTTTATTGCCAGAATATTGTGCTTACTGTTGTATTTTTGCACCCATTGAATTTCTTTGTCGTTTTCGTAATTCACGTCGTTTAATATTCAATTTGGATGAGTAAACTCCGTTGTTGTCGTCGATTGTTTTTCACACCTCAAAATTGAGTAATTAAACCTCCCGTTGTTGTCCTAAGAATTAAACCTTCTTATTCGTCCTCTTAACCGTTTTCCTCTAATCGACCTAAACCCGCCCTAACACCACTGTATCAATTCATCTACTCCATGTAATGATCCGTATGAGAAATTGCTCTGCTTATACCGCTGACAACTCTTCTTTGTTCTGGTTTAATATCCAGATCGTGTCCTTTGTACGTCAATTATCTCATTGGGCTTTTCTCTTCGCTTCATTGCTTGTTACTCTTTGTTAGCGACCTCCCTTTGTTCTTTTCTAACTATAAGATCCTATATACATACAATCCCCGTCTTTACTCGTAATAGTAGTTTCGGCTTATTTGCTGATAGTAGTATATGTTTGGGATCAAGAAAAACATTATTAGAATTATCAAAAAAAAAAGCGAATAGATTAGTTCCCGTCTTTTTTAGATTACACTTCTTTTTCCTCTTTCGTCTTTATTGATCAAAATAAATGCTATCGATGATCTTAGCAAAAAAAGAGGAAAAAATTGAATTTTTCATTTGGCAAATTTGGTAAATATTTTTAACAAATAACTTTAAATAAACAAAAATAAGATAATTCTATGCACATAAATTATGAAATTTTATTTTTGATTAATTAATCATAACTACTGAGTATTTCTTAATAAAAAATAGCCGAATATTAAACGTCCTTTATTATCTTGCATTAATCAAACCTCAATTCAAATTTTATAAGAATTAATTATTAACCAATTAATTGTGCATCTCTTTATTTCTTATTTATTTGATTGAACAGCTATTTGAGAATTTTTATGAGGTTCTTAGAAAAACTATTAAAAATAATAATAGTATTAAAAAAATAATAGTATTTTAGTGGAGATGAATTAGAAGAGAGAGAGGAAGAAACAAGGGGAGAAAGAAAAGAACAAAGTACTGTTTTGTAATGTCATTGAAAGAGCAATTAGTTCTTTCTTTTTCTTGGATCATTATTAAAACTTTTGAAAGAATCAAAGCAACGATAATGAACGAATTTTTTTTTTCTATGTTCCATTTGTGTCATCTGTCTGACAGACAACCCTTTTCGTAATTTATTTTAACAAACGGAAAGACAACAAAATGATGTCACATACATACACTCATATATCTGTAAAAGAAAATTTAGAATTTCTTTTCTTACTACCCTGTTTCCTTGTGAAACAAAGTAGGTTTCCTTCCTTGATAGTTCCCCCTTAAAATACTAGCTATGCAGTAAGGTTATCATTAAAATTTTTAAAAGTTGCATTTGACTGACAAGTGGTGCGGTTGGAAAGTTGCATTTGACTGACAAGTGGTGCGGTTCATTATCATTCCAGTTCGTTTCTTTCTTTCTTTTTCCTCTTTTTTTACAATTTGATAATTAGTATGTCAGATAACATAAATAAATAAATGAGAAAAAAATGCTTTTTTTGTAATTTAGAAACAGTTTTATTTAAATTTTAAATTATCATTACACTTTATTCATTCATTTCTATGTTATAACTTACACTTTGTTTGTCTCTGTGTTGTTCCAATTTTAGTATATCTTCATCGGAATGAATATTTGTAAAAAAAAGAAAAAAAAAATAAGAAAATTTATGATAATCTATCAATATGCATTATTTATTTATTATTTTGACGGTACAAAAATTCAACTTAAATTAAAATCTTTTCCTATTTCGAATCAATTTATGCTGCAATCATCAAGAACTAGAAATAAAGTTATATGATTAAGAAATAATTCATAAAATATTGAAAATGCATATGTACGTATTACTTTATGGCAACTATAAATTACTTTATGGTAACTTTCATTTATATATACATATCGAATGATGAATCATTATTGTCCCGTTTTATCAATTATCCGCGGTAATACATACCATTAATTTTGATCCTCATAATATTTTCTGTTAATATATAATCTTTTCTTCTTTTTCTCCTACATTTGTCCTCAATTTGCGTTATACATATTTGTAGCCATTTCATGTTTTTTTCATGTGAAAAGGAAAGAAAAGAAATAGCAAACAACGATTAATTTGAATATATTGGCTTGTATCTCTTTTTTTCCCAGTTTATTTTAAAAAAGAAAGAAAAAAGAAGTATACACTATTATGTAAAAATAAAATAACAGATATGACAGAAAAAAGTAGTAGGAAAAAAGTGTTATCACGTAATTTTTGGATTCGTTTTCTAGGATGAAAGTGTGTGTGCTCCGAAAGTAAAAGTATAAGTCTTTTCCGGAAAAAAAAAGTGAAGTACTTGAAGATGTTGAGGAGTTAAATCTTAATTTAATAACAACTAATCAAATGTAATTAGTTGCTTAAATATTGCTAACAAATTACTTTAGATTTTCATATGATAACATTTTAGATTATTTAGTTTCATTTATGTAATAAGAAGTTATATTTTTACTATCATCTTATATTGAAAATGATAATTGAGGTTTTTTTTGTAATTACAGGAAGTGATGGATAATATAGAAGGATCAGGAATTACCAATAGTATGATAGAATGGTCTGAGGATTTAGTCAGTGAAGGTTCAGGTAGTCAAAATGAGGGGTCCGGTGATATGGAAGAAGATCAGGAAGATGTTATAGCACCAATTATTACGTCTGCTGAAGATGGCCGGCATACGGAACTGATTGATCGAATTATTATTACTACTTATCAGGGTTATATATTTTGCATTATCAATTACTTCATCAATAATTCTAATATTCAGTTTTAAAATTCAAATTAGGCCTTAGTGTCGTGAAAGGTTGTCTGTTGGTTGATATTCGAATTGTTGCAATACAGTAGGAAGATTAATAAACCTCAAACTTGGGTAATTAAACCTTTATTTAACATGAGGCAAATAATACGAAATTATAAAGTATTAGACGCATGCTAATATCACCCAAAACATAGAGCAAATGATGGTTATAGAAGGATTGGTTGGTTTATATATAAGACTGATTTAATGAATGGAAATTAGATGGAAGAATTTCTATGGATGAAAAAACAAGATTGTTAACAATGTAATGATTTCCCTAAACAGTTTTGCAGGTGTTAATTATTTTTATCACATTTTATCGCTATTTAACAAGATTAGTTTTATTGTATGAAAGGAGGAAATAGATTAGTATGAGTCATAGCTGAATTACAAATGCAAAAAATATTCGGAAATTGAATCATTTGGTGTGAGATGAATTTTGTAAATGTAAATTAGATTTAGGAATTAGATAAGAGGAATTTGTTAGTTTTGGATATAATAATTTAAATATTTCGTGACAGTTAGAAGTTTTTCGCGAAATTATAATTCGCGACACTTAGTAAATTTCAGTGATATTTCCTTTATGCTACCAACATTAACTGATTAAACTAACTAATCAAATATAGAATGAATAATATAAAATCAAATTTGCGATTCAAAAATTAAAACAAATTTTCGAATATAAAGTGATTATTTCTCAACAGAAAAAGATGATATAAAATATATAATTGAAATTTCACACTAACTTTTAAACGAGAGAGTGAAAAAGAAATAACTTAGATAAATTTGAAAAGTTTTAAGTTCATGCAATGTTCATGATTTATTTTTCTACATTTTTTTATTTTTTTAAATTATAACACTGTTTAAATTGCACTGCAACAAAAAATATCAATTATATGAACTGTTAAGTACACCTTACTTTACATATACCATAGTATGAAATAACTTTAAATAGTATAACATTTACGCAACAAAATATTAATTATGTAATAATTATCAAATTTTGTATATTTTTAATATAAATTTTGTACAGATCAGAAAATTACAAATTTCATGTATTTATAATTTATTCACTTTTTTCTTCTATTGTATATTTTTTCCTCGATTTCTACAAAATTATCATTCTAACAACGTTGATCGTACTTGCTGATATGAATGATAGTTATAGGATGAATAATATAAATTGCATTTCTGATTATTCCAAATATATGGTTATATTTTTTTGCACTCACACAAATTTAAAAGATTAGAGCAAATTTTTTTTATTTTTGCTCCTTTTCTTTCTCTTACAAAGCAATTTACTTTTGATACTATCAAATGAGAAAAAAATCTTTGTTTATTATGGAGAAAAAAGAAAAACTGAAAAAACTTATGATCAAAAAAAAAAAGAATTTTGGAAGTTTTGGAAGAAATTTTTTTACCATATCACGATAAGCTATTTTATATGAATGTCTTATTTTTAACTTATCACGCATTAATTTCATTTCACCAATAATCACCAATAATTAATTTGAAATATAAAAACTTGACTTCATAAAGAACTTTTACATTAAAATTTATACATTAATTTTTTATTTTTTTTTTCACAATTTATATGCAACATTATTGATGTGATATCATAAAAAATTTCGATTGTAAAATGCTCTGAATTTATTTGAAAATAAATTTTACAGAACCATCCTCGGAAACTAAATTACCATCCAAGCCACCTGTTATTGTTAAATTGCCGGAAGTTAGGTCAACCGATCGTTCAATATTATCTCTGCTAATTGCATTTATTATTATCTGGGTACCATTATTACTTTAATTAAAAATGCCTGTCTATAAAATAACTGATAAAATCTTGGTAATAAATAAACAATAAAATATTGTTAAGGAATTTCTTGAAAAGTTTTTATATCATAGCAAATTCGATCAAGAAAAAAAAGCGAACTTGGATTGTTGTAATCAAAAATTAATAAATACAAAAAAAAAAAAAAAAAAAATGATTTTGTAAATGAAATTGAGTAGCAAAAATTTCATTTTTTTCCTCAAAAAATAGGCAAATAAAATCACTTATTTACTTATATAAATCGTGCTCATTTCTTTAAATTTAAAATTTTATAATTTTGAATACATATATTTATGATTTTTGAATACTTTTTTATAATTTTGAATATATATATATATATATTTATTTATTTATTTCCAATTTTTGGGAAAAGAAAAAATATATAAGCAATGTGCGAAAAGTGAAATGTTTTGTGAACTTTGAATTTTAATTATTGCCATTTAATTATTGTTTTTTTTTTCGATTTTTCCATTTACCATCCTCTCGTTTGTTTGTGTACTTATCTATTTTTTTCTTCCTTTTTTTCTTTATTTATTTGCTCATATGCTTGTATGCCTTTTCTATTATTTGTATTTACCAATTAATTCTTTTTTCTTTTATTTTGTTTCTTTCATTTATTTGATAATAAAAAATCATTTATTTCTTATGATTCAATCTATTTATTATCATTATTTCTTTCTTCCTTTATTTGTATTTTAAAGACAAGTTTAATGACAATTTAGCGAAAATACTTCCCAAATTTATTCAAATACTATTTATTAATATTTTATTTATTATGTACTACTTCATAATGCTTAAAATTTATTCTGATAAAATGCTGTCACGAATCTTTCCGTATATTTTGATGTATCCGATTTGATAACACCATTTTTTTCTTTCTTTATTGGGAATGCAATCTTGTGGGTTAAATTATTTCACAAATTATAACAATGACGATTTTCTTCTATTCACGAAATTACATTTTATAAATTTTCTAAAATTTATGTTTAAGAAAATTTCAATTTTCATCACATTATAATATTTTAGTGATAATTTATTGGAAGTAATTCTAAATTAAATTTCTCAGCTTTTATTTTTCTTTTTTTCTTCTTGTGTTTTACGGATTTGAAAAATAGAAGAAAAAATTAAACGAAGATTGATTATCTAAAATTTCTGAGTACAATTTTGATTTTAAATTTAGGAAAAAATAAAGTAAGAATTAGTTATCCTCTCCATATCTAGTTGATGAAATGCGTAAATGTCACTAATGCCACTGCCGCTTTTCTTATTTAGCTTACAAATTATCAATTCTTTCATTCGAACATGCTATTTGTTGTTCTGCTTTTTGTTGAATGATAAAATATAATTAACGATTTATTAATTTTTTTTCTTCTTGGTAACAAAAAAATCTAAAAAGAAAAGTTTACTTTATTCAGCTAAATTTTTTTACACTCTGTCCAGAAACCAGGCAAGCAGTTTATTTTCAGTAGTAATTCCAGTACTGGATTGTTCGAGATTTTCATCCATTGCTTCAAGTTGTCGAAGTATTCTTTCAGTAGCTTCAACTGTTATCTTCCATTGTCGATCATTCTTCTTGACGGAATATGACTCATTGTAGAGCGACTTTTTAATGATATGTGATTGCCCAAATTTTTCAATAAGGACTTTTCGTATCACATCGTAATTTTCTGAGGTTATATCATAACCTCTAACAGCCAATAAGGCACCTCCCTTTAGACATGCAATTAAATAATTTAATTTTTGGATGTTTGGTATTTTTTGTAAATGGACTGCAGCTTCAAAGCTGCTCCACAATCCTCTCCACTCATTTTAGGATTACCACTGAAGGTAGGCAGTGGTAGTTGAGGTAAGTTAACAGTTGGGTAAGGGGCTATTTGACTGGATTACTAACTCTGAGTCATTCATATACATACTTAAGGTTATGATGATTTCTTTGCCTTTACTTATTAAGTTCAAAATACCTCTTTTATCTTCGAACATTTTGACGTATTTGTCTTCCTCTTGTTTTCTATTCGTTGTTGGAAACCTGTATGTATTGGATCCAGTTAGTCTCAAATGTGTCAATATGCAACTTGAGACGCATTATTTTTTTTTTCAATGAATCTTGTTGACAGGTTAACATTTGCTCGGTTAACATTTGCTCCAAAAGCGTAAGATCCATTTCTTGGACTTCTTTGAGAAAAGCTTCCAATTTTTCTTCTGCCAGTCGTGCGCTTAGTACTACAGTTGCAGACATTTCTGGTTCGTGACACCAAAAATTTTGTCGTGGAAGATTTCACTGTTTAATTATTAATTTTGGGAGAGGTTTTTGATCGCAGGGAGGTTGATTAAATGTAGGTGTAAATGCATGGAGTAACAGAGAAATAAACCAATTTCTTTATTAGCAGAAGTAATAAGACAATAAGTTGATAGAGAACAATTGAAATTGAAATCGTCTGGTTCTTGGCAACAAATTGCACATATATTAAAATCTTTTAACAAGGGTGACCCTTATATAGCAATTATATCTTACATTACATATATTAAGATGTAGGAGTGGTTTATAATTAGACAATTTTGTACAAAAGATAAATTGTCTAGACATGATATTAAGTTAACTACAATGGATATTACAATGAATTGAAAGGATATAACAAAAGAAAGTACAATGGGTTTTCTAGACATTATGATAAGTGGCTACTATAATGAGTTGCAATAGACATACATGATCGATGCTTATAATATATGAAATGATATTAGATCAAAAGTCATTACGATGAATTGTAAAAGGCATCAATGGATTACTATATTAAGCATTGTTAACATTTAATGTTAAAATTTGCGACAGTGTCATACAATTAGCATTATGTTTCAATTCATCACTAATTTGTTCAATTAATTCTCTTGTACTTATTTAAATTTTATCATCCTCTAAATCATCTTCAACATCTGCCGTTGGTACAAGCTTTTCCTTTCGTTGTTGTTCATATTCGCTTGGCTTAAGTTGTAGAAATGATAATTCCAAATGGCTATCTATCTGTAACCATAAATAATAATGTTTTGCGTTTGCTTTCTTCAGAATTTTCAAATGCTTCTTCTTCTCCAAAAAAATTCTTTTGATGAAAACACCTATATTTGCAATTACTACATTTTCTACTAAAAATTTTTGTTTTCTTTTTCTTTTTTTTGCGACCTATATTTCAAACTTGTAAGCCATATTTCAGCATAAATTTATAATTACGATGATAAATTACCTGGCTATCTCTAGTTTGAATCTGAATATCGAAGTTATGCGAATAACATTACGAAGTAAATTATTAATTTTTGGAGAAAAATTGAACTGTTTCGTAATACTACCACCGATCGATGAATAATAATGTTCCACAGCCATCATTTATAACCGACTGATGTGTGTTTGGAGATGCATTAACTCATTCAGCAGCTGTCGAATGGCATCAACACTTTCTCGTACCGTTATATAATGATGCGATGGTAGTAGTGTTTAATTATTAATTTTGGGAGAGGTTTTTGATCGCAGGGAGGTTGATTAAATGTAGGTGTAAATGCATGGAGTAACAGAGAAATAAACCAATTTCTTTATTAGCTGACGTAATAGGATAAAACTTGATAGAGATCAATTAAAATTGGAATCGTCGGTCCTTGGCGATAAATCACATATATACTTTTAACAAGATCCTTATATAGCAATTATCTTACATTATATACGTTAAAATGTGAGAGTGGTTTATGATTAAACATTTTTGTACAGAGAATAAATTGTTTTGAATGGATATCACAAAGGAAAGTACAATGGCTAGACATTATGATGGGTGGTTACTATAATCGGTTGCAGTAGACAATACATGATAGATGCTCATAGTATATGAATTGATATAAGATCAAAAGTCAGTTAAACCATTACGATGAATTGTAAAAGGCATCAGTGGATTGCTATATTAAGCATTATTAACATTTAATGCTTCGCGATATTAAAATCCACTGCAGAAATCACTATTGATGGCAAATTTTATTAATTCTTACATCGAAAGGTTGCTTCAATGTGAGTTTTTTAAACTTTCTTGTTTGCATAAATTTCAAATATCCACGACAGAATGTAAGCAGATCAAGGACAATGGAAATAAAATAACGTCTAAAATATATTTATTTTTTAATGAATTGCATTTTTCTAATTTTGTTGGCGTTTAATAAAAACATAATTTAGCAGAATTAAAATTTTCAGTCTAATATTTGCAAAAGCTTTAGAAATTGTCAAAAATTTCCCAGAGTCTGCAATTGCAATTAGAACTAATTTCAATATGAAAAATTTGCTGAAATCATTGCTGATGGCAATTTTTATTAATTTCTGTATTAAAAAATTGCTTCGAAGTAGTTTTCTAGATTTTCTTTATAGTATAATTTGTCAAATATCCGTTATATATTGTGAGCAGATCAAGAGCAATGCAAATATAATAATTTGTTTTAAATTTATAAAAACTCATAAAAATTGTCGAAATTTCCGGAGATCCGTAACTATAACTATAATTAAAACTAATTTCAATGTGGAGAATTAATTGAAATCATTGCTGATGGCAAATTTTACTGATTTCTACATTGAAAGATCGCTTCAAAATGAATTTTTTAACTTTCCTTTTCGAATAAATTGTCAGATATCCCACAACAGAATGTGAGCACATCAAGAGTAATTAAAATAAAATAACGTTTAAAATGTATTTGCTTTTGAATGAATTACATTTTTCTAACATTGCTGGCACTTAATAAAAACATAATTTAACAAAATTAAAATTGTCAGTTTTAAATTTACAAAAACTTTTAGAAATTGTCGAAATTTCTTAGAAACCCGTGTCTAGAACTGTAATTAAACTAATTTCAATGTAAATTAAACTAAAATTAAATTAAAATCATTGCTGCTGGCAAATTTCATTTATTCCTACATTCATTGAAAGATCGCTTCAAAGTGATTTTTTATAGTTTTTTTTTTTTGCATAAATTGTCAAATATCCACAACAGAAAGTGAGCAGATCAAATGCAATGTAAATAAAATAACTAACAAAGCTAAAATTTATATTTTTCACATCTTTTCTAAAAATTTTTACACTAAATTAAGACATAGTTTAGCAGAATTAAAATAATTTCAATGTTAAATTTACAAAAACTCTCAGGATTTGTCGAAATTTCTTAAAGATCCGTATGGTAATTAAAGTTGATTTCAAAGTTGACTTCATTTCCACTTCATTTTGTTTACATGTGGAGTGTATTCTAATCTATTTCAAAAAAGATGAGCTGTGCGGAATATAAAAATTCGTTTGCACGAATTATTCAAATTTTCGATACAGCGGGTATTGTTTATATTATTGAGCTTTCATATTTTTTTATCTCATCCTGTCGCCACAATGGCGAAGCTATAACCTAGGTTATTGTTTTAACATTTAATAAACATTTAATCTACTTTGTAATCTTAATATCCATAAAATCTCTCCCAATTTCCTTCCTTACAAATTATTATAGTTCCTTGTTTGGTATGGCTTGGTTGCGAAGTGTCTAGCTTGCTTATATCTTAAAACGTTTTATAATTAAGTTACATTTGTGTGTTATCTATCAATTCATTACTGTAATGTTGTATAATTTTTAATGTTAATCTGTGGTTTAATTACCCAAGTTTGAAGTTTGAATAATAAAGTATTTCACGAGCATTCCTACACTACACGTACATAGAACGGACCAGTACAGATTCGAGATCCTACCAGTATCGAGGACAACGATCTGAACATCAAGAAAGAAAACCTACTTTGTTTCACAAGGAACAGGGTAGTGAGAAAGAAATTCTAAATTTTGCTTTTACACATCCTTTTTATACATCTCCTATTTATTTATGGATAAATATATCATTAAACCTTAATACCTCAAAATACTGAAAGTTTAGCGAAGATCGCTTTGCCGATGAAAATAGTATTTCCTTCTTCATATTTTCACATTAATCTCAATATTTCAGTTCTTCGTTCTTAGTCTCTTCGTAAATTATGATGTAATTTAAAAGTAAAATGCATCACAGTATTTCCTACTTGATTAAATTTACACTATACACGCTCAGTGCTCATTCATTGTCATATTATCGTCAAAAGTAAGAAAGGCACTTGCAAAGTGTGGTATCTGTATGAGTAAATTAAATATCTATTTGGATTTTCGGCTATACATATCAATGCATATTTTCATTTGGTAATTTGATAAAATTTGAATGATACCTTTAAATAAACGAAACACAAAGAAAAATGATGAATAAGAGAAAAAGAAGTTGAGAAAAAGAAGTCATAACTCATGAAGCAATAATAAACGATATTTTTAAAACAATTCAGCAGCTGTAAAGTGGGAAATATCTGATCTCAATCTCAGCTTTTAAAACTGTAAGAAAATATTCTTAAAGTTTTATCATTCGAATGCAGACTTTTTCTAAAAAATTTGAAGTGTTATTTGAAGCTTACAGTTCCAACACTTCAGTGCTTCAGCAATTTTTCATTTAAGATAAATTGTGATTTCTTAACAAAAATTGTTAGAAAAATAATTCCTACCTTTCCTTTGGAAGTACTTCTTCAATTATAACCGAATGTAGTTGATCTATAAGTATTTGATGATATAAATGAAGATTTGAATTATGTTATAGACTGTTGATTAAATTCTTCAACCGTCCCAGGCATAAACCATAATTATTGCTTAATTTTTGTTTGGAGTTTTTCCATGGCCAGCAAACCTGTATCTTCCACCCTACTTGATGATGGTTCGTTTGAAATGCTTTAAAGCTTGATCATCATTATCAGCTTGAAGTAATTCTTAATACCAATCGTTTCTAACTTCCAAAAGTTTTCTAATTCTGAATTAATATTGGCATTTGTAGAATATACTACTTTCTTTTTCCAATATCGCCACTTCTAATAATCATAGGACCAACCTTTGATTGAACTAACATATGTCCTGATTTTAATTCCTTGATTTCTCGTAGACTAATAAATTTGAAAAAATAAGTTAGGTTTTTTCCAATAATTTGTTAAATTTTGAATTTGAAATTTACTTGACGTCTCCACTGTTTGTTTGTTAAATAATCAATTATATTTGCTTGTAATAGTATGATCTCTTTTTATGTAGTTAGCACGTTTAATTGTAGGCGAGCAATGGGACACGGTTCTTTCATACTAAATGGAGCTTTTTCATAATTTGAGTTTCTGTTTCGGTTAATCTTAATTGATGTGATAATTTTTTAGAAATGAAGGAAGACAAATAGTACATTTCTTTAATACCTTGAGACGATTCAGTCGAGCGTTGAGAGTATTGTAGATCTCACAATCACTATCCCAATGATCTCAAGTGCAGAATATACATTGTCTTCTTTTCTTTATTGTAAGTTTCGAGAGATTTTGATTATCTTTCATTATCGACAGTGTGAAGTTCCTCCGGTATTGCATTGTTGTTTATGCTCAGGTTTGATAGTTGTAGGTTCAATATTGATCTGAGTATGTGAATGTTGGCAGTTTCTAATCTGCTCATTCACATTAACTAAGGAACTCTTTCTTTCGTTTATATTTTATTTAATATCCATGAATTGTAATTTACTCTCGATTAGAATTTCGATATTTGAATGTTCGAGGCTTTCTCCTAACGCCTCTAACTGGCGTAACACTCGTTCTGTATTTTCAATGTTTTCAATCCATTCTCTTTCATTTCTTTTGATGAATTGCAGTTCATTACGTAGTATGATGTCATTACCATTGAGTAAACGCCATATTTTTCATTGAGCAGTCTTCTTATAACTTGGTGTTACATCATATCCAGATATTACTTGTAAAGCTTTTCCTTTGAGGCATGAGTACAAATAATTCAGTTTTTGTATTTCTGGAATTTTTTGTGTGTGCGTTAAAACTGCTCCAAAATTGTCGCCATTGCCCAGGATCTCCATCGAAAGTAGATAGCGACAAATGAGGAAGATTTACATTAATATTCGATGATTTTCACATCTTCTTTCGTATGTTTATTCGTCAACTCCTTTGAGAGTCGTGTTAAATTTTGGTCAGATTCATCCTTATGCATTGTTAACGTTATTATCGCTTCCTTTTCTTTATGAAAAATTGAAATATTCCTTGGTCACTTTCTGTTACTGCTTTATATTTTTCTTCTTCCTCTTCTCTCCTTTTCATTGTGACGATTGTCGAGTGTATGTGAACCATTTATCATTTATAAATTCGAACGTAGTTACGCATAATTGAATTTTTTGGAGTTTATCTTCGAGTATTCTTTTTCTTATTATATAAAAATCTTCATTTTCTCCTAGTGTCATACTTGATTCCGGAGATCTTCATTAAATTTATTCCTTTGAGAAGAGTAACGGTTGGATGCTTGTAATAATTTGCTGGATATGATTCCTGGCTCGTGGCATCAAATATTTTTGTCATGAAAGGTTGTCGTTAGATATTTGAATATTTGTGATACAGTAATGAGATTAATGATTTTTTATTTTTATGAAAATGTATTACCAGTAATCTGAGCAGTAGAAATAGAATTTATAAAATCGAGGAAATTGAGTTTTGTTATGAAAGTTATAGTCAACAATAATCTCTTGTTTATCATATGGGTGAGGATTGGTTGTGCCTAAAATAAAATCATATATGTCGGAATGGGAGGTCATATAAGTGAAGAGTTAAGCATGTATATGGTAAAATCACATATGTGAGGAATTGAAAGTGTTTACATTAAGATCATATAAGGAATTTAAAAGAAGAGATTATAATGAGAGCTAATTTTAATTTCACATAAAATCACATGAGTAATAAGTCTTAAGAAGCCAAATTTATGGAAAGATGATTTATGATACCGTAAGGTTGTTTACAATTTAAAAATGATTAATTAGCTTTATTGACTTTCTTTATATTAATCTTATTGTTTTGGTTTTAGAATTTTCGCGAAATGAATATAATTGGCAATTGAAAGCACTCCAAGTCTCATGAGCAGTAGGCGACTGTACTCAACATCGCCATTTGCTTTACGTAATGATCGAGTCAAGAATGGAGCTGTTAGCATTATTTGTTGATAATCAGTTGGTAAAAACTCCTTTGTACGACAATGAGCTTGATTAAACCATGGTAGCCATGATTCCACCCTGAATTTATATTTTTTCCAATTAATTTTTACATGTGATATTTATTTTCTTTAAAAAAATTTCTCCCCAAAAATTTGCATACAACTAAATAATAGTACTGATTTTTGAATTAAGAATGAAATTAGTCAAGATTTAAGTTTACTTATGAATTGATATATTGTGTTAATGCATTTCTTTGCACTGCAAAATACAAATTAGAATATGTGCTCTCAAATCTAAATCCTTTTCATTCTAAAAAGTCTTAATATTGATATACAATAAAAAACCTATAACTGTTTGCAAAGTTAGTTGAGTAATAACAAAATCAAGAAAATTTTTCCGGTACAAAAGTGCGAAGCATAGAATTTCTGAAAGTAACGAATTTACTTTTAAGAACAAATTTGTACTATTTACCAGGTTATTTTGTATTATTTATTACTTTTTTGTATTATTTTATTATTTTTTTATTTATTTGTTTCTTTTAGAACAACATATATCAGACTTACTGTCCTCTATTAACAAAGATTTCATCTTTGATCACCAAGCTGAACAAGAACTCTTTGAGACAGATTTTTTTCGTTTATTATCATTTGTTTTTGTCCATTATTTCCAAGTTGCTGCTACTATTAACAATACCTCAAAAAAAACATTTCTTTTTCGTTTTTCAAACAATTACTGTGTAAATATCAACCTCTAATTTAATGTTCTTATAACAGAATAGAATTTGGTAGTAAAACTTATACTAACAAATCAGATCAATTTGTTAATCACTCGATTTTGCATTATTTTGTAAGAAACATGAAGTTATTAGATCAAAAAATTTTTTATCAAGCATGCTATTAATCAAAAATTTCAGGGTAATTTACAAAAAAAGTGTTCAAACAATGTTTTGCGCTGCAACATTGGCCTTGGAAAGATGAATTTGGGAAATCAGGGGAGATAAAACAATACTTTCTGTTGTATGGTGAAGGACGAACAAGAAAAGATCAACACCGTGAGAGAAAATCTGGTCCATCAGTAGACAATTTATTTATTAGCATTTTTGGTTTTTGAAATTTTCAAAAGCTCTGGTCAGATGTGATTTCAAAATATTCCTGATACTGATGGAGCAAATTCATTGCCATAGTTAAAATATATCAAACTGCTGAAATGCTTGGACTCTAATACAAATTAAAACTATTTTTATCAATATTTAAACACAAAAAATAATTCTTCACTGATAACATTCATTTCATTTGTACGACAAATTAATTTTAGAACAAAGCAATTGAAATGATGAAATGATCGGTGGGGAAACAGGAAAAACTAACTTAAAGTGAATGAGACAAAAATAATATTTATATATCGACTAAAAGCATTTCTTTTTAATCATTATATTTAAAAAGCTGAATACAAACCACGACAACAAATAAAATCAGAAGTGTTCCTTTCAGGTAATTTTTAACTGAACTAGTAAGAAATACTGTTATCAATCCCCATATATTTGCCTTGAGAGCATTTTCAAAACTTAATAAGTCAAGGCAATGAATTTTCCAATGGTGAATATCTAAATATATAGCAATCATATTTTTATGTAAATTTTTCACACAAATCCTTACTGCAACACTTTCCGATTACATTCAAGTAATTTCTTCTAAAATTATGCAAGTATATAAAAAAAAAAAAGCAATACATTAAGTAAGACATTGTTTTAGCTTTGATCCAATAAAAGTAACACATTTATTAAATTTAATTATCTGTTGATTGATTTTTTTGCAGTATTTTCAACGCTGCTGATGAATTAACTAATGCATGTTTTACAAAGCATTTATAAGATGACGAAGTTTTCGAAACCAAATTCATTAGTGTCTTCGAACAAAATATTAAATTAGAGTAAATTTAAAATTAATGGTATTCTGTTTTTTATCAGTGTGAAGTGTGATTAAAGATACTTTGGAGCGTGCAACAGTTCATTTTGCATGATGCTGGACAATAAATTGATGACCTACCAAGAGCTGTAATTGAAAATTTTATTCATAAGTAATAAGTACTAATAAGATTCTACTTGTAAAGTTACAAGGTTTCTAATCTAATTTATTAAATGATTTCATGTTGTATAACAGATTCTAATTTTGGGTATAATTTTCATTTTTCTGTTCAGTTAAAAAAAGCAAATTATTTGAAACCATCACAATTTCAAAAGATGAATCGTTTAAACAAAAATTTTTAAAAAAATATCAAAGAAAGAGATGAGCTGAAGAAATCTGAGTAAGCTCAAAAACATAAAGGAGTGAAAGAATCATACAATAAAGGCAGTGGAGATAGCTTAAAATCTGTGAGTATGATCTGCTCTCGCAGCTTTATAAACTACCTCAGCAGCCTCTTGCAATTTGAAAATTGGACTGTAACTTATGATAAGGTTGGCTCAAAAAGCTGATTTTATATATTTCATTTCATTTACCTTTATCTTGATACCTTAATTATGCGACAATGCAATAATGTTTCAGCTTTAAATAACATCCGTCTTTTCTAGAGTCTGGAAACTTTGCCGAGGCTAACGCTCTGTCACATGCATTCCATATATTTTTTCGTACTGTAAAATGGTGGCGGTTGCTTGCGGTACCACGAAGATATATATATATATATATATATATATATATATATATATATATATATATATATATATATATATATATATATGAATATTCATTAAGAATATGATGTTTGATTGTATGATGATAAGACAGTTTGTTGTGTAAGTCACAGTTAATTTAACTCATTTAATAAGGCTAATTCTGGCAACTTTTGGATTTCGATGAAACATGATCAAGAAGGATCAAAAAGGATATTCATCACTAACTGTAATTAGTATTATTAAGAAGGTTGAGTTAATGCGATATTAAGTAATTTTAGTTTTTTAATCTGTCCTGTCATAAAAAGAATCTTGTTGTTATTTTGGAAAGATAAAAAAGTTGTACAATGAGTAAAATGACAATAATACGACGTAGTAGAAGTATTGAACTAATGAGTGGAAAGGAGGTTATCTCTATACGTTCAGGGCATGGTTTTGGGAGTTTTCAAGCGCAGTCTCCTCAAATAACTACGGTGATTATAACCTCCTAATTATAATGGTAATTATAATTTATTCACATCTTCATTCAAAGGTTTGAATTGGCAGAAATTGGAGGAGCAAGCAATCACGTACTAATTGACTAACAATTTTACTGCATTCTTTCTTTGCTACATAACCGTTTTGATAAATATTTATTTGCTGAATTGCCCACAACAATGTTCCATCTCTTCTTCTTTTGCTTAACAATACCTTTATGTTTATGATACTAAAGCTCAAACTTACACAAAATTGCCAGAAAATGGACTTTAATTTTTCAATAATGTTCTTAACAAGATTATAGCATATTTGATGTCCAATTGACATTTAATTGAATTAGAGTTCAAATAAGAATTGCATTCGTACAATAATCTTGTTTTTCTCGACAACATTTTAATTTCGGTATTTAAAAAAACTTGACCGTTAGGGCAATAGTCCATTCTACTTACGTCTAAAGTTCACTACTTTCTTTACTTTTTCCATACTTCTAAAAATTTGGGATACGCAGTATGTTCAAGTATGCTACTGAATACATTCACTGAAGAAAGTGATGTATAAGAAAACCAAAAACACCATTCGAACTCTACGCATTGTGCATCCAGCGCAGAAAATTTCGAACTGTTTTGATATATAAAAGGGAAAACCATTTACTTTCCATAAATAACCAAAAAATTTATGTCTAATTTTTGACACATATAATGAAAAGTTTGTTGAATAAAAGATTTTTGCAAACATAAAACTTAATGTCTAAAAAAAGTTTTTAGTTGAGTCAAATCACATAGATTATGCTAATTTTCTTAAAGGAACGTCATTTATGCTTGGAAAATGGAAGCCAATGTTCCCCTGATAGCTAAATTTCACAACAGCAAACTATTACTGATAGCGTTCCTTATTTACACATGTTAATTTATGAACATTTTTAGTTATTACACATATTATATTTATAACACCTATGAATTTTGTAAAATTTTGTGCATTACAAAAGATATAGAGAAAACTTCAAAATATTACAGTATACTTATTCCATGTAACCTTTGCAGGTTAATGATTTTTGATTCATTGTATAGGAATGATAACAAAGAAAAAAAGTCTTACTATCATTTAATGACAGTATAGTTGCTCAGAAAAGAAAACAGTGAAGCAAAGAGAAACCAAAATACAATTGGTAAATGCAATCCTGAGTCCACTTATTCTCACTGAAATGATGGAATCTTCCTTATGCCAAATCAAGGAGACACATAACGACACTTTGCATTCAGTATTATTATCGTGATTTATTCTCCATTTCATTTGTGAGCAGATTAATTTGATGAAAAAATATTACGATCACATAGGAGCTTTTAAATAAAATTAAACAATGAAATGAAATAGATTATTTATGCTATTCTCGTTAGATATCGTCTCTGATGCTAAAGTTCAAGCTAGGCTGATCAAAAGGTTTAGCATAACTAGCCCATGCCAATTGATAAATATAACTTTAGCAGTAACTGTAATGGAACTATATTAATTCAATGTTTGTCAATTAAATTCCAATTATATACATAATGCCTCAACTGAACATTAAGTTTAAATTCGACGTAGTTTAGATTGATTTTTGTTCCATTTATTCTATTGCATGTTTGCTTTCATGATAATTGCAATAGCGACTAATATAATTCTTCATAATCTTTAGAAAAGAAATTAAATGAAAAAGGTATAGCAAATAAATGGATTAGATTTTTTTGTAACCTTTGGAGTATAAAAGTCTAAAATTTTTTACTTTCTGATATTTTGGTAATCATATTTGTCCTTTCCAAAAATTTTTAGAAAAGCTTAAATTAAGGAACAACTTCTCTTTGTCAACAAAAGTGGTAGGAGCAAATAAAATGTATTAATAGAGAGAAAACGAAGTAACATGGAAGTAATACACTTTTGGTTATTCATTGTTACTTTTTTCTCGATGGCATTAGCAATGAACAAGATAAATCAAGCCTTATAATCTTGAATGCCGAGTATAATTTTAAATTTTCAACTAGTGGATCATCATAAAGAGATAGAAAATTGGATGTAACTGCTAGATGTAACCATTACAATTGGATTGAACTAATTAACTGAATAAACTGAAGCTGTCATGATTGCTCTTTTTTCTCATGTCTAAATTTTTATTTTATATCGGTCTTTTTACATTTTTTTCATATATTAAAAATCAGAAATTAAATGAGGCCAAAAGAGAGGTGAAGGGAGAAAGACAAAGAAGACTTCGATAAATAATGAATATTATTACTTAGATAATCATTTATCATTTCATCCATTTTTGTCTTATCCATTTACCAACCTCAGAAAGCGAGTCACTTAGTAAGACTGAGGTATGTTTTTTCGCAATTCTACATCATGTGTATATATATATTTAGCCTAAGTGTATATATTTTTACGTTAAGGTGAAAAAGAAAATTCTCTTGTTATCTATTCCAAAAAATAAGAGAAGAAACAGGAAATAATTTTAAAGAGACAGATTGTTTTTATAAAAATCACTGCTTTTGGTAAAGAAAAATCATCTAGTGGAAGGTCACCGATGAAAGGGGAATGCTTAATCTGCAGCAATTTGTTCATCAGCTATTTCTATCCAAAAAATACATTCAATTTTCATGAAGACCATAGACACTTGCAGAAATGCAGTTGATGAAATATAGAAAAAAAAAAACTGTTTAAGAAGATTATAGACCCTATATCTATAACTCGTTGCAGGCAGAAGTCTGATCCATGCTATTTCTTAATATCTGAATTTCTTTCTTAATTTCTTAATATCAGCGCAAAAGTCTGAAAAACTTATTTTCAATTCAACATAAACTACTATATTCATAATTAATTGAAAGTAATAAAAGTAACATTCAATTGTAATAAAATCAGTGTCCTTTCAGAGCATACCATTACTGATAACTTATTTTAAAATCAGTTTATAAGTAGTTCGCAAATAATAACGAAAAGAGTTAAAATTAGTTTAGAATTACTGCCTCTCTGCTTTTTTATTCAAAATGTTGTTTCCTAAACTTAATCAAAATATCTGCTAGATGAATGAATATCTTAAAAATAATTTATCCTTCCACATACCTTTACAATTTGCAAAGTATAAAACGGTGACCATATAAGAAAAATTGCAAGAAATTTCGATAAAATTTATGAAATGACGTTTCATATCAATGTTAGACGTTCGTGAAACTCTTTTGAAGCTACTTAAAGAAAATGCTTGAAAATAAATGTTATGGAACATTTTTTATGACAAAAATATTTTACTATATACTATAAAGTCTATTTTTATCAAATTTCTACATAGGAAATTACAAACTTGCGTTAGTTTGTATCATTTATCTAGTTTATGGAAGAATATTTCTCAATATGAAAAGATGTCAAACCGACCATCGAAATTAGAAAAAGCCGATGGGAAATAAAAAGAGAAAAATCAAAATTTACATAGCATTATGCTGAAGGAAATACAAAATTGGATAGCAATAAGAGCAACATTTCGTCCTGGATGAGTGAGCACAAAAATCAGCAAAATACAATTTTGATGAATTTAGCAATGTTGCGACGAAATAATTAGGATGATAAAAGATAGGCCCGAAGTCACGTGAGAAAGGCAGAGAATGTCCGAAAGGCTCTTAATTTTTAGTAAGAATTTAACTGAAATAAAAATAATTTCATCATTTAAACTAATATAGATAGAGTTGATAAAGTTTGACTCTGGATAGGCAGAAAAATTCCACACCGCATTAAGGCATATCATATCATGTAAGTTAAAGAAAAATGACGCAACCTAAAATCCTAAAATCGCCGATAAGGAAGCATCTTAGATGTCAAGTTTAGTCTAACGATTTCCAGTTGTGATGAGCTAGAAGAGAAATGATTGCACTTGCATGCGATATATCATATTTAAGGCAATTGCATGGAGTGCTTTATGGTTTAAAATTCCACCAGTGGTATTCTACATGCAGTTATACCATTGTCGCGAATTATAACATCGCGAAAACTCCTATTTAAAAATAATCCCATAATATCATAAATTATCTCTACATAAATCTAATTTCTTAAGATTTTTCACATGTGATTTTCATCATAGATACGTTCAGTTCTCACATTGTAAATTCTCAATTTTTTTACACTTCCGACTCTTCAGACATTATAAAACAATCTTACAGTATCTTAAATTATCTCTCTTTAAATCTAATTTTTTTGGTTTATTACACATGTAATCTCATATCATAATTTCTCAATTCTCATGAACATTTCCGATTCTTCACATTTTTATCTTAG